GCACCCCCGCAAACCCCCCATCCTCCTGTCTTGGCCCCTGTGGTCACTGAACAGGGTGGCAGCCCCGTGGGGACAGGGACTGAGGCAGTGGCAGGGGACATGTATGGATCCAGGGGTCCCAGATGAGGCACACGCATGTGGGTCTAGGGAGCCTGTGTCCCCCTGGGGTGGGTGGCTTTCAAAGCGCTGTGTCCCCTGGTCATATGCACTCCCCCCAAGGGACATGTCCCCCAGCAATATGTCCCCACCAAAAGAAAAAAAGATGTGTCCCCCAGCCTGCAGGGACATGTGCCCTGGGAACATGTGTCCCTCTGCCTGCATGTGCCACCTCCCAGGGGGATATGACCCCTGGAGGGATGTGTCCCCAAGCTGTGTGTCCCCAAAGGATGTCTCCTCCTGGCCATGTGTGTCCCTAAGAGGATTGTGTCACCTCACTGCATGTGACCATAGTCATACATGTGTCCCCAAACGGCTGCAGCCCCTGGCCATGAGCATCACCTGCCTGTGCATGACCCTGGTCATCCGTGTCCCCCAGCCCTGTCTGTCCCCACAGGGCCACATCCTGCAGTGACCACGGTGCCATTGCGCCCGGTTGTTTGTGTTGGGACACGCTGACGTTCCTGGAAGCCATCTGTAGGGAGGTGATAATCTCCTGCTGGGACTGTCTGCATGGGGGTCCCGATAAGCAGCAGCGCCCAGCTATCAGGGACCCTGCCCTGCCACATGAGGTGTCCCCAGACCTGTTGTCACCTCTGGGTGACAGGAACAGGGGCAGCATCACACACACTCCCCTCAGCCTGGCCAGATCCTGGCAGGAGGTGGCACGGGATCAAGCTCTGACACCAGCCTGTGAAGATGTTGGGACTTGAGGGCTGCAAGGGACTGTCACCTCCTGTCTTCAGCCCCTGCTGTGACCCAGAGGTGTCCTGGGGGGGCTTGTAGTGCTCCCCAAACTATGGCACAGACACCTAGAACAGGGACACAAAGTGTCCCCAAGAGCCCCCCAAGCCTGGCCAGCCCTGGGTGAGCCCCATGGGACTATCCCCATCCAGGGTGACCCGGCACCCCGTGGGGCAGAGGGGGCCTGGGCAGCCCCCAGACCAGCACTGTGGAGCTGGTGTGGGGACCCCCGGGTGGGGGGGTCCCTCCGGCCCCACAGCAGCATGTCTGGCTGCAGATAAGCAGCTGCTGGGGGGGCTGCCAAGTGTCCCCACCCGGCATATCTGCAAGGCCACCCTGCTGTGGGGTGTGTGGGACAGGGACCTTTGTCCTGCCCGTGTCCCTGTCCAGCTCTGAGGGAACAATGAGGGTCTTGAGGGCACAGGGGAAGCGCCTTTGCCCTGGGGAGGGCATTGCAGCAAAGCCCCCCCATGTGAGCCCCATTGCTGGCTGTCACTGCTCCCGCTCGCAGGCTGACCCCGAGCAGGACAGGTACCCCCAGAGCCACCCTGCTGTCCCCCAGAGCAGGGGAGGGTGTGTGTGGCTGGGATGGGGCCACCAGGCCCATGGGGTGACACAGAACATGGGTGCTGCCTGGTCCCTATGGGGTGTGGGGGGTCTCTGGCAGTAAAGTGGGGGGAGATGGTGGCAGCAGGAGCTGCTGTCACCACCCTGGCTGCTGGGACAAAGCCGTTAGCCCATGCGAGTCCTGCTCTGAACCCTGGGGTGCTTCTGGTCGGGGTGCCCCGCAGTGATCAGCTCCCCAGATTAACCAGGGTGACGCAGCTGGAGCTCACCAGCCACCCTCCGTACTCACGCGTGTGGGAGCAGGACAAGGCTCTACCCCTCGCTAGGGCTGGCCAGGAGCAGCCCTGGGGATGGGGCAGGGGGCCCACGGGGACACAGTGACCATGGGGAGGCCACGAGCTGCCAGGAGCTTTGCAGGAGCAGCGTGAGCTGGGATCTCACTTCCATGGATCCCTTTGTTCCCCATCCCA